CTGCACACACTTCTCCAATGGACGTCTGCTGGGTGACCTGCCCATTCAGCTCAATTCTGACACCATTGAGAGGTAAGTTAGATTTCACAGGTGAAGGGCTCAGCCCCACAAGCCTGCCCCCACCCCAGTCCAGATGCCACTTGTAAGTCACAGAGTGTCACCTGTATGTCACACCAACTGGCTAAAATAAATTGGGGTTCCCACGGTGCCCACCTCAGGTTTGATAACTAAACAAGAGGGCTCACAGAACTCAGGGGAACTTGCCTCCTGGTTCATTAAAGGATATGATAAAGGACATCGATGAAAGTACTTAGGGTCAGATGAGCTCTGAACCGGTCCTCAGGGCAGGAGCTGCCATTCCCGTGGAGTTGGGAAGCATGGCCCTCCTGGCTCATGGATGTATTCACCAATCTGGAAATACCCTGAGTCCCCAGAGTTCAGAATGTTTAGGAGTGTTTTATCCTGGGGGTACGACCGACTGGCTGATTGGGCAGAGTTGGGATTTGCACACTGGGCAAGCGCTCCATCACCGAGCTACACCCCAGCCCTAGGCCTGCTTTATTTTCAACCTAATCTCCAGCCCCTCTCCCCTCCCTAGAGGATGAGGACTGACATGGAAGGATCCAAGCTTCTAATAATGGCTTGATCATGCTGGTGACCAGCCCCCATCCTGAAAACTACCAAGAAAGTCACCTCATTAAAGCAAAAGACACCACTATCACCTAGAAAACTGCAAGCATTTAGGAACTCTGTGCCAGGGACTGGGAATGAAGACCATAATGTGTGTGTGTGTGTGTGTGTGTGTGTGTGTGTGTGTGTTATAGTACTGGGGACTGAATTCAGGGGTGCTCTATCACTGAGCTATACCCCCAGTACTTTTTTATTTTGAGACAGGATCTTGCTAAGTTACTGAAGCTGGCCTTGAACTTAGGATCCTCCTGTCTCAGCCTTCGGAGATTATAAGCGTGCACCACCATGCATGGCTCCAAAATATTTTCTTTATTTATGAATCACAATGTCAGCTGGGAGAGGTGGCGCTTGCCTATAATCCCAGCAACTAAGGAAGACTGAAGTAGGAGGTTCCCAAGTTGGAGGCCAGTCTTGGCAACTTAGCGAGACCCTGCCTCATAAAAATAAAATATGAAGAGCCACAAATGTAACTCAGTGACAGAGCACCCCTGGGCTCAACTCCAAGTCCTACACAAATCAATCAATCAATCAATCAATCAACCACAATATCACAGTCGGTGGACTTCAAACACAAATCCCTTGCTGCGAAGTGATGCGCAACTCAGAAGACATGAGTATTACTAGAAGTCCATTCAATCATGAATAATTAGTCCATTCCACCCTTCAGACATATGGAAATGTTTCCCAGAACTAGGTCACCAGGTTTGCAGGCTTCCATTTGATCTTGTCAGGTTCCAAAAACAGAAGTGGTCTTGTCAGATGGCTTTGTCTTTTCAGGAATCTGCTCTGATTGGCCTAAGAGAGACTGTCCTCTCTTGCTCTGAGCCTCTCCAGGTATCCGTGTTCCTTGAATTTCCCTCCTTCCAATCATTTCTTGACCCTCAGTGATTATTTCTCCTTCTGTCCATTTATGCCCAGACTTTTCCACCTTTGGAAGGACACGAGGTTGGCCACCATCCTGGTCTGGACTTCAGGCAATAATACCACCTTAGCGGGGGTCTGCCCATCAGCTGGCCCCCGTTCTGGGGTAAGGTCACCCAGGAGCACAACTGGCCTGGGGCTGTTCTTACCACAGGCCATACAGCTGCGCTTACTGTTGTTTTTTCTTTTAATTTTTAAAAAATCTGTTCTTTTTAGATAGACTCTGGTGCGTTCACGGTTGATCCCTGCTTTGCCAAAGAAACTACCCGCCCTCCAGACCCTTAGGAACTCTGACCAAGTCCCCAGTGGAGAGGGAAGAAAGAACAAAGTGTAGTCCTGGGGCTGGGGCTGGGGCTTGGTGGCAGAGCGCTTGCCTGGCACCCCCGAGGCCCTGGTTTCCATCCCCAGTGCCCAAAAAGGTGCACCAGCCTCCTCCTGCCCTGGTCTGGTGCTCCTAGCAGAGCAAAATGGTCAGGTGTATGTGTGAGAAGGTCCCGCTGGCTGTTTGGTGGCTGATCCACAGGAGAAGTCCGGGGACCATCGAGGAGGAGAGAGCAGGGGCGGCCAGCCCTAGGGAGGTGGCGGCTAGTTGGAAGGAAGGAGATATCTTTGGGAGAAAAAAGGACATGTGACCCCAGGATGAGCCCAGGCCTGGCTGTGCTGGCTTCAGGACTTGCCTTCCAGAAGGCTCCAGGGCCACACTGTGGCTGGTGGGGCGCGAGGGTGGGGTGTCAGCCACCACTCCCAGGCTGGCCAAACCCAGATTGCGCATGAGGTGGGGAAAAACCAAGGCTGAAGAGCCCAGGGTTCCTGAGGGGGTTGGAAAAACCTTTTTATTGTCTTCGTTTCCTTCCGGGCAGAGTTTTTCTTTTTTTGATGCTGGGGAAGGATCCAAGGCCTCACGCCTGCTGGTCCAGATCTCTACCACTGAGCTTGAGACGGCACTTCCTGAGGGAGAACAGGAGCCTCAGGAGGCTTCCCGGCCGTGAGACATGCTCTTGGTCCACCTGGGTGGGAGAAAGCATGACTGGCAGGGTGGAGCCCGGGTACCCTGTGTGGCCCTGGGGACAGGCAAGGACTGGGGAAACCGTCCCCAAAGTGCTGGGCCTGAATGTCCATCCCAGGCCCAGATGTGTGAAGGCCTCTGCCCCACAGGCTTCTTCCTCAGGGAGGTGGCCCTGATGTGGTGTCCAGCCTTCCTTGGCTCTGGGGAGTTGACCATCAGGCCTGAGGACCGGGGGCATCTGGGCAGCTGCTGTCTGTCCTCCAGCCTGTTCCCTCTCTGTCCCTGCCATGGTAACGGGGAGCCACATTTCTCACCACTATGGACCAAATGGTGCCTGTTCCGAATTTCATGTTTTGGAGTCCTAACCCCCCCGTACCTCAGCTTGTGACTGTATTTGGTGACAGAGTCTTTAAAGTTGAGTTAAAAAGAGGCCAACACAGCTCGGAGGGTGGGCATTTGGGAGTGTACAGGAGGACAGCTGCCTCCAACTTCCCCCTGGGCCTCTACACACCCGCTAATTCTCCTGGGACTAGCTGCGCTTCCTCTGCCACAGGTACACGAAACAAGAGCCACTCCCCCACGCTATTGAGTTGATGTTCCTTGGACACTTCTGCCTCTACTACTGTGTCCCGGTGACTGCTGAGCATGTGACTCTCCATACATTCTAGGGGACAGCCACCCCCACTCCCAGGTCTGAATCACTACAGGGCTGAATCCCTCCCTTTTTTTCTTTTTTCTTTTTTTTTCTTGGTACTAGGGATTGAACTCAGGGGCACTCAGCCTTATTTTGTATTTTGTTTAGAGACAAGACCTCACTGAGTTGTTTAGGTCCACACTAAGTTTTTCAGGCTGGCTTTGAACTCCCGATCCTCCTGCCTCAGCCTCCCAAGCCGCTGGGATTACAGGCGTGTGCCCAGCCTTCGCCTCCTTTTCCACTTACCCACCCCCACTCAGGGCAGAACTCATCACTCCAGAGTCTACTTCCTCCTTCTGTCCACACCTGGCCTTGGGTCCCTCCTGATCCCCTGCACAGTTTTAAACTCACAGGGAACTTTGGGTTCCGGGTGTCCTGTTAGATTCCAAGGTCCAGAAAATATATTGATTACAAAGCAAGTTTATTTCTGGGAAAAACAAAAACAAAGTCATGAGTATGGGCCATACTTCGATAGGACAGGTATCTTCATAAGGAGAGGATACAGACACAAACAGAAAGAAGACCAGGTGAAGACACAGGGAGAAGACAGCTAAGGAAGGAAGACTCAGCAGAAACTAACTCTGCCAACACTTGATTTCAGACTTTTGATTGTTTAAGTCATCCAATTAGAAGGAAAGAAAGAGAGAGAGAGAAAATCAGTGATCCTCGTTACAGCAGCTCTAGCAAACTAATACAGCCACCATCACCACAATAACAACAGCAAACACATACTATGACCTGCGTGTGACAAGCTGATCCTCATTAACTCTGGAAGGTGGGAATTAGGGACCTTGTCGGGATCATCTGCCACCTATTAGCTATGTGATCTGGTGAAATTACTTTGCTTCTCTGGGCCTTGATTTCCTCTTGTATCCCCTGGGACTAAAATAGCACCTACACACCAGTGTGGTATTATAGAATGATATAAAGCATTTAAAGTGTTTAGAGCAATTTCTAGAACTTAATGCTGGCTTTTATTATTGATTTATTTGAAATGAGGTCTGGGCCCAAACTCTTAGGGTCAAGCAATCCTCCTCTTTCAGCCTCCAAAGTAGCTGGGACTACTACAGAGGCACCTGGCTTTAATATTTTCTGTAGTTATTCATCTCATTTTATAGATGTGAAAATAAAGGATCTGAGAGGCTAAATAACTTGCCCAAGGTCACACAAGCATGTGGCAGGGTCAGGATTTGAACCCACACAAATCGGACTCCAAACTCAAAGATGCTGCCTCCCTTCCTGCCCCTAGCTGCCCAGACACAAAGGCCACCTCTGTGACTCTTTTTTAATTAATTAATTCATTATTAGTTCTAATCAGTTACACACGACAGCAGAAAGCTTTTCGATTCCTTGTACACAAAGGGAGCAGAGTTTTTCACTCTCTGGTTGTACATGATGTAGAGTCGCACCATTCTGCCATCATACATGTACCTCGGGTAATGATGTCCGTCTCATTCCCCCCGTAGGGTCGGCCTCCCCTGACCCTGGAAGCCCCTCCCCGGTCCAGCCCAACTGTGAACACTGGACTCTGGACATTGGCTTGGGACAGAGCGCTGGTCCGTGGCCTCAGGCGCTCCTCCTCCATCTGCTCGTCCAGCTCTCACTGCCACCCCAGGCGCTGGGCAAGGCCGGGAGGTGGCTTGCCCCAGGACACGTGGCTGGCGAGGAGAGTAGGGAGGGGCCCTGCCCTTCCCGCAGCCCCAGGTCCATCCTCTGGCTCCCCCCAACAGGCAGCCTCAGAAGGGAGATGGGACGGTGCCTGGGGTCCTGGGCAGGGACCAGAGCCTCTGGATCCTGGTGGTCTGGTCTCCTGGGCAGAGATGCTCCTGCAGCTGTCCCTGACAGCGGCCAGGTGTATCTGCAAACTGCTCCCTGAGTCAGAGGCCCGGGAACTGAGGACATATGATAAGAAGGACCCTCAGGGACGTCTTGGGAGATCTGTGGCCTTTGCTGGACAGACTTCATCCTGAAACTCACAAGGTGTCCTTCATATACCTCTTTTCTGCCTCCAAAGTGGCCGTTCAGCCCACACTTCCGGCATCTTCTGCAGCCCTTGTCCTATGGCCACGTTGTTTATGGTTGAGGTGAGAAAATCTAGCCAATGTGGTCGGCTTGGAAGACCACCATCAGACCCCCCCACCCACTAAGACCTGAGAGGGGTGTATGGCTCCTCAAATCACAGGCTACATCCGTAACAGCCCAGGATGGATCCTCCTGTGGGTGCCTCGTGGCCCTGTTGGCCTTGAACATCTGAGCTGCTGGGGTGGGGGTTGGCACCTGGAATGGAACCCAGGGGTGCTTAAACCACATCCCCAGCCCTTCTTAAAATATTTTATTTAGAGACAGGGTCTGACTGAATTGCTCAGGGCCTCACTAAGTTGCTGAGGTTGGCTTTGAACTCACATCCTCCTGCCTCAGCCACCCGAGTCACTGGGATTACAGGCGTGGGCCAGCTGGTTTGCTGGTGTTTTAAGGAGTTGGAGACCAAGAGAAGGTTCCCAGCTCCCAATCTGACTTGTGGAAATGGTAGCTGGCAGTGACTTGATCCCAGCTTACCACTTGGGCACAGGTCCCTGTAATCTGGCCTGGGCTCTGTGTGTCTGTGTGGGAGGGGGGGTAGGGGTGTCTCCGGATCTCCACACCCATCTGGTCACCCTGTCCTGCACTGTGTCTTGTTTGTCAAGTTCCAGAGGGACACAATAACTTTATTTTATTTATTTATATCTCTACCTAACCCAGTGCCTCGCACGTGCTAGGCCAGCGCTCTACCACTGAGCCGCCACCCAGCCCCCAGCACTGCGTCTATCTGGCAGCTCTGATCCTACTCTGCAGCCTGCAGAGTCCTCTGGCCTCAGTTGGTCCTTAACCCCTAAACCCTTGTCGGCATTTTCCCATCTCTCCTATGATGAATCAAAGCTTAGTGGCCTCATGGCCTGTCCTATCTGGGCCCCACCTCCTGCCCATGCCATGCTGACCCTCGGCCTTCCCATCCTGGCCTTGCTTCCTGCAGCACCCACCTGGGAAGCCCTCCGCCCCCCATGCCAGATGGCATGTGAGATGAAGCCCATCTGCCACCTCATCCCAGTTCAGTTCCGAGGTCTCTCCCAGGGCTCACCTTCTCCTAGTCTGTTCTAACCTCTGTTGGCCATTCTGCAGTGTGGGGAGGAAGGGACCCCAGCCCCCTCTTTCATTCCAAGGGGCTGAGAATGTGAATCCGTCCATCCCCTTCACTTGGGGATCTGATTCCTAGAGGTCTGCCTGGCTCTCACCTAAGACAGCTCCTGCTCCGCGGGATCCCACCCTGCCCCTGACAGCGCCCCAGCTAGCCTACACGCCCACCTGTGAGTACTGGGCTGTTGAAAGCATCTATGGAGGCTCACACCTGCTGGAGCCTCCTGGGTCTCGCACAAGACTGTGGAGCAGGAAAGAGCACAGGACTGTAGAAGCCAAGGGGTTGGCTTCGGATTTGTCTTGTCACTGGAGAAGGACCTCAACTCAGGGGTCCTTAATGTATGTGACAGTAAAGAATTCTAGCCTGTGTCAGACATTGAGGTACATAGATTTATTTAGGAAAGCAAGGAGTACACACATTCAAGAGAGAATTTGAACCAGGTGCCATGGTGCCCACCCATAATCCCAGCAACTAGGGAGGCTCAGGCAGGAGGATCACGAGTTCAAGGCCAGCCTCAGCAACTTAGCAAGAACCTGTCTCAAAATAAAAAATAAAAATAGGGGCTGGGGATGTAGTGGTTCAGTGGTCCTTGGGTTTAGTCCCTGGTACAAAAAAAAGGGGGTGGGGTGGGCGGGAATAAGGCTATCTCAAGAGTGAGAGCACTTCTGCAGTTTTGGGGCTCTTCTTTTAAAGGAAACTTGGTGAGTGTGGGCCTGGGCAGGTATGTGGAGATGACATCAGTCTGGTGATCACAGATGGCTTATGAGGTCTGGGAGTTCCAGGGATCCTCAGATTGACATCTTCTCCACTATCTGATCAATAGATAAGATTGGGAAAGTACCCTATATTATAGGTTTCCTATCTCCCTTTCTCAACCTATTTTAAAAATGCATGTATTAGTGGGTTCATTAACAGTGCACGGGGCAGTTTTTTTAAGTGGTGAGTTTCCTGCGACTTGAAGATTGTGGGTGATGATTTGGGAGTGCCAGATCTGGGAGAAAAACTGGCTTGGGGAGTGAAAGTATGAGGAACTTTACGACGGTGCTTTCAGATGAAAGGAAAAAGTGTCTTTCTTCCTTTCTTTTGTCTCGTTTTTACCTGTCTTTTTTGTATCTCTTCTATCCTACCTCAAGCTGACATGCCAAGGTACCACTCCTGCTTGCCTGAATAGCTCCATCTTAAAATGATTCCGTGCAGTCGTCTGGGGTCAGGTCAGAAAGCTAGGAGTCCTGGTTTCCCCCAAGCACCAGTTCTGTCCCTCAACCTCAGCTGTGGGTGTCTGAACAAAACCTTGCCCTTCTAGCTATTGGTCATTTTATCCATGCAATGAAAGGAAACGAGTCAGGAATGGGTTTTGTCTGATTCTCTGTTGAAAAAGTTAGAAATTCAGATTTTGGGATAAAATATAGATTTTTAGTTGCTAGTAATGGATTTAAATTGTACACCCTACCTCTGGAGATCAAAGGAGACACACCAGGGAGCAGACTGGGCCCAGAGACCCTGGCTTGCTAACTTGGGACTGGAAAGTCTCTGTCTGACATTTAGTGCTGTGGTTTTCATCAGCGCAACTCACTGGAAATCCCTGGGGATTTTAAAAAACACTGACTCCCTAGTACCCCCAAAGTTCTGATTTAATGGCTAGAAGCAGGACACGAACACGCGGTACCAGATGCAGGGCTGAATCCTGGCTGTGATGTGGACCCGAGAGGTAAGTTCCATTACATCACTGAGCCTTGTCTTCCCAATGTGACCGGAGGGCTGTGGGCAATGCAGGAAGGACTCTCAGGTAAAGCTCTGGCACAGAAAAAGTGTTCAGTGAATGAAGGGGGAAAGCGATCGGCAGCTACTTTTAACTTGGTAACTTGAATCTGGTCTTGGAAAATAAGCCCATTTGCTTTCAGGACTGAGACAGTATAATGTTCCACAGGGATGAGGGTGGGGAGACATGAATCTGGGCTCCATTTCTGCCTCTGGTCAGCTGTGGAGTTGGTGAGTTTGACAGTTTGATGTTCTCTGTTCTGGGCCTCAGTATCACCTACTTCTTTAACAATGCTCTTTTCAATGTGAATGCCAAAATTTCATTGCAGACTTATTTGTGGGGGTGGGGAGGGGTGGGGGTTGACCGACTCAAAGCTTCTATCTGGAGGCTGAGGCAGGAGGATCACAAGTTCAAAACCAGCCTCATAACTTAAAAATTTATTTTAAAAAAAGGGCTGGAGATTTGGCTCAGTGGTGAAGGGCTCTTGGAATTAATACCTTGTATCAAAAGCAAAAACAAACAAAAAAACAAAACAAGAAAAGGGCTGTGGATGTACCTCTGTGGTAGAGGATTTGCCAGGCAAGCAAGAGGCTCTGGGTTCAATCCCAGTACCACCCCTCCCACCAAAACAAACAAATAAATAAAAGCAAAAATCACACATGTTCAGGCCTGTAATGGACAAGCCTGTAATCCCAGTGACTCAGGAGGCTGAGGCAGGAGGATCAAGGCCAGCCTCTGCACTTTAACGATCTGCCTCAAAATAAAAAGGACTGGGTGTATTTCAGTGGTAAAGTGCACTCTGGTTCAATCCCCCGAGTGCTGCAAAAAGAAACAAACAAAAAAAATATATTGGCCAGTGACGGGTTCTTGTGCCCCAGCTTTCGAGCCCTTGAAGGACCAACAGAACCTGCCCAGTGTAACCTCAGACCCCCAGAGGAAAGGAACCCGGGGTCTGCGGAGCCACCGCCCCGCACGGCGGCAGGGGGCGCCCGACCCAGCGTGCTGACCATTGTCCTCCGGCCCACAGAGGAGCCTCCTGGGGCAGTCTCCCGGCTCCTCGCTCTGGGAACCCCCCTGGGCCGCAGTTCCCACCTCCTGCCCGCCAGGTTGCACCCTGACCTCTCCCCGCCCCGCCCGGTCCCTTCCTGCGCTCAGCCCTCTCCGGCCCCCTACGGGGTGCCCCAGTCCCAGGTGGTCCCCCTTGGCTCCCCGGCTCCAGGACGATCCTCCCCACTCTGCCCACCGGGTGGCTCCTCAGTGGGGGGCCGGGAACTCGCGGCCCCCGGCCTGCGCCCCCAGCTCCGGGGCTCCCCGCCCCGCCTCCCCATGCTGCGGCCTCCCCACCCTGAGGCGCGGCTTCCTGCCCCTCGGCCCCCCGTGGCTCTGGAATTCCAGCTGGAACTACACCGCCCTCGCGCTCCCGCCCGCACCGCGTGTGCAAGACCCTGCGCGAGTGTGCACTCCACTGAACACGGGGTTCGGGGGCGCCGCGGCCGGGCTGGGTCCCTCTGGGCGGTGCGTGAGCGCGCACACGTGCGTATTTGTGCATCCCACTGTGTGCCTACGCCGGTGTGTAATTGTTTGTGCACACACACTCAGTGGCGCTTGGGGAAACTTTTCTGAAAATCCTGGGCTGGCAGTTTAAATATAAAGAGGCTTTGTTTAATGCCAGAAGCATTTCCCCCAAGTTCCCAGAGTGGGAACCTTCACCTGCTTGCCCCCTCCCTTAGAGACCAGGAGGCCAAGGCTTGCTGGGGGTGGGGGGCAGAGTGGATGGGGGCAGATGCCTGGTTAAGAGATTTTTATTTTCCAAGGTTCGTCCCCATCCCCCCCAGACTTCCTCTTACTCTCCAGCAAATGGCTTTCAGAGGCCCCCAAACCTCCCCGGTCTCTGTCTCTACAGGTGCTGTTTAACTTTGAATCTTTCCTCCTCGAATATCTGGGAGTGTTAAAAGGATGCCAACATCATTCTGGCGGTGGAATTCAAGTTGAAATGCAGCCAGAACGTGGAACGCTGAGAAGCTGATGCGGTAGGGGAGGGTGATTGGGGCAAAGCAAAGAAATTGAGAGTAAGGGGAGTAGGGTGACCTCACCTACGGTTAACTGCTTTACACTGAGGGCGAGGACACCTGTCTGATACGGTTGTTTGGAGTTTCCTTCCTGTACTGTAGATCTGATGCCTAGGACTGTCTGCTCAACAAAGATGCTAACAAATTGATCACTTCATTGGGTTTTTATGAGCAGAAGGATAGGAATAAGGTATAAAAGCATGCACACTGGGGTTCTGGGCCCGCATCCTGGCTACACAGTTTTCTGGTAGTATCACTCCATGTAAATTTCTGCATTTCTTCTTTCCTTCTCAGTAAAGTGGAGCCAATAACGGTTACACCTCTCCCAGAGTTATTCTAAGGATTAAATGAGTTAATCTACATAAGCCCTAGAACAATACCTGGCACATCTAAGTGTTGTGTATGTCTCCTTTTTTTATTATTGGCATCACGTGTAGTGTATTTATTTGGCCCTCCCTCACGCTAAGAATGTTTTATACATCTGCACATTTTTAAATGGTTGGGCAGGGGGAGAACACTCTTATTTCAGGATGCATAAAACGGAATTCAAAGGTCAGTATCAGTAAATAAAGTTTTTTTTTTTTTTTAAAGAGAGAGAGAGAGAGAATTTTTTTAATATTTATTTATTTATTTTTTAGTTTCCGGCGGACACAACATCTTTGTTTGTATGTGGTGCTGAGGATCGAACCCGGGCCACACGCATGCCAGGCGAGCGCGCTACCACTTGAGCCACATCCCCAGCCCCAAGTAAATAAAGTTTTATTGGCACACAGCCACACCCATTTGTGGATGCTTTCCTACTGGGAAGGCAGTTAAATCCTTTCGATGGAGACCGTATGGCCCCCCAAGCCAAACATATACTATCTGCTTGTTAGAGGAAAAGTTTGCTGAGCCCTGCTGGACAATATCACCTCCATGAGTGCAGGGAGCTTTGCCTGTGTGATCCTTAGTGTATCCCCCTACGCCTGGAACAGCGCCTGGAACATAATGTATGCCCAGTAAGTATTTGTTGCATGAATGAGTTTGGCCCTAGGCAGTGGTGGAGCTGTGGCTCCCACATGCCGGAGCTTGGCATGGGAGTGATTCCAGCAGATGCTCCTTTGGAGATCCAGAAGAGGGAATCTGTCCCCTACCACTACCTTCTCAGGGGTGACCAAGGAATCAGACGGCTGCAGGTAAGCAGCAGCTGCCCACTTTAGCCTTGCTTTAGGTTAGGCACTTACCTGGCTCAGGTAGGCGCCTTTCTATAAGCCCAACTGCATGAGCAGATTCTAAAGGAGAGTCAGCTGGTCACCAGCGGTAGGTGTGTGTCCTCACTCCTTCCCTTCCACTGTGGCAGTCTCATAGCAGGAAGGAGTTGGGAAATGACTTCCCTGACCTTCCTAGGTGGGACGCTCTCTGGAGAGGAGGTTTGGAGGATAGCCCTTCCTTTCCTGGAGCCCAAGGATCCCTGGGACCATTAGCCATGATGAGACTCCTCTGGGCCCTGTCAAGAGGCTTTACAAGAATCCTAGTGAACATTTACTCCCCACTTGAGAACAAGCTGGTGTGGAGCTCAGTGGTAGAGTGACCCTGAGTTCAATCCCCAGTATTGCAAAAACATAACAAAACCCTCTCCTCAAACCCCAAATAAACATGAGATCAAGGGGACAATGCAGACAATGCCTGGCATTTAGGAAGTGGTAGGTGCCCCATGTTGGCTGGCCCACTGACGCTGGTCGCTGGTCAGCATAAAGGTTTGGGGAAGTAGGTATAGCTCTTTCTCACTGACCTTGAGACTGCCAGGACAGCCAGACCTGCTGGCAGCCATACTGTCATTGTGCGGACTTGGAATGAAGTCACCATTAGGGAGTGAGGGGTGGCAGGCCCAGTGATGGAGAGACAGCTTGTGTCTCTCGTCATATTACTTGAATACCTGAATCCTCCAGAGTCTGAAGCTGAAACTACAATTCTTTTTGTTGAAGCCAGATTTTGAAAAATCACTTACAATAGAAAAATTCCGATTTGTGGTCACTGTCATCCCTGTGTGTCCACTCCGAGGCTCCTGAGCCCAGGAGGCACAATGCACTGATCTAGGTGGGCTTTCTATCGGGGCAGAAGGCCGTTCAGAGTGTTTGAGATGGAAATCTGGACTGGGGTGCAGCTCAGCGATAGAGCACTTGCTTAGCAAGGGATGGAGGTGGGAGAGTGAGCCACAAACCTGCCTGACATGTGGAGTGTCTGTTGTTCCTGATGACACCTCTGAACATCCCCTTCTCAACTCTCAGATGTCCTGAAGGGGGCCAACAGAACCCCAGCACCCCTGAGGATCAGACGGAGCCGCAGATCAGCAGGGCCTGCAGCCTTCTCTCCTGGAGGCTCAGCAGAGCCTCCTGGCCCCTCACTCTTGCCAGGAGCTTTGACCTCCCCGTCTCCTTCCTACTAAGGTGCCCCTTCCTTCTGGCATCCACCATTCTAAGGAAAGCAGTGCATAAAAGGAAGGCAGAGCCAGGCGCAGATCTGTAATCTCAGAGGCTTAGGATGGAGGATTGCAAGTTCGAGGCCAGGTTCAGAAATTTAGTGAGGCCCTAAGCAACTTAGTGAGAACCTGTCTTTAAATAAATAAATAAATAAATAAATAAAAGGGCTGGGGATTTAGCTCAATGGTTAAGTACTGCTGGGTTTAATCCCCAGTATCAAAAAAACAAAACCAAAAACAACACCCCCCCCCAGACAAAAATCAAACAAAACAAAACAGGGAGACAAGACTGGGTAAGATAAACAAAGAACGGAGTCTCTGTCCTAGAGCAAGTGACTTTTTGTGCTTCAGCTTCACTCCTGTAAAATGGGACCCTCTTCACCTCCCTGCCTGTTCACCATATGACATTTCTTTCCAGGAGCCAGAACTTCTCTCCTGAGGTGCAAATACTTAAATACTGGGGGCTTTTCCAGCCCTGCTGGCTACCAGGGCAGGCCTGTAACCCTATAGGAACTTTCTTAATTAGGAGGGGCTTAGGTCTAGTTGGAGGGGGTAGAAGTGGGTAGGACATTTGACTTGAAGCTCTGTCTGCAAGATTGAGACAACATCGGTTCCACAACAAAGAAAGTCCCCCAAACAAATGTAAAATTTTATCTTCTATTGGGAGCACATGAAAATCTGTTGTATTATTTTCTACATGTTAAAAATCTTTCAACTAGCTGGACACAGTGGCGCATACCTGTAATCCCAGCAGCTCCGGAGGCTGGGGCAGGAGGATCACGAGTTCAAAGCCAGCCTCAGCACTGGGGAGACACTAAGCAACTCAGTGAAATCCTGTCTCTAAATGAAATGCAAAATAGAGCTGAGGATGTGGCTCAGTGGTCAAGTGCCCCTAAGTTCCATGCTTGGTACACCCTCTCAAAATCTTTCCACTAGGGGCTGTGGGTGTAGCTCAGTGGTAAAGCGTTTGCCTAACACATGTGAAGCACTGGGTTTCAATCCTCAGCACCACAAAAAATTAAATAAATAAAGGTATTGTGTCCATCTACATCTAAAAAAAATTTTTTTTAAAATAATTTTTTGACTTAAACAAAAGGTTTTGGGGATTGATGGAGATTTGGGAAAAGGGTATCTGCCCCCATCCCATTGACGCCTGATACAATTGTCTGTGGTTCCAAGATACCATCTTTATCTCCATCTCTAGCTTAACCTCCACATCTATCTAGCGGTTTATATATCCATCCATCTAAATCGATACATCAATGCTATGCTTCAGGCAAAGTGTAGAAGCTGGAATTAACTAGCTGGAGAGGGGAAATTTTCCAACTTTGGAGGGAGATTCACCTGGATTTCAATCCTGGCTTTATCCCTTAAGGGCTATGTGACTTTGGATTAGGGACTTAATCAGCCTTCCTGAGCCTCAGTTTTATTACATGTAAAATGGAATTTATAACAGCACCGTGGGCATCAGCATAGTTGTGTAGGGAGCGCTCTCTGTAGGGCATCAGGTGGGGCACTGGGAGGAAAGTGTGGGCAGGAGGAGGTCGTCCTTCCCCCAGCCCAGGGGATGCTGCCTATCAGTTTACCCGCTTCAGACCCAGGCGAGGTTTCCGTGAAGCACGGGGCGGGGGAGTTCTGTTGGCTTTTTGAGAAAGGCTTGGCGCCTCACGAGTCAGTCAGTGTCCCCTCGGCCACCTTGGGCAGCCTGAGCCGGGAGGCGCACTGGGCGTGGCGAGTGCATCGGGCTGTGGCACTGACCACGCCCCACGCTCACAGGCCACGCCCCACGCTCACAGGCCACGCCCCTATCCCGCCCCTCAGGCCACGCCCCGGCCCCGCTCCAGCTCGCAGTTCTGGGAGGTCGCTGGTGTCGCCTTGGGCAGTGGGGAACCCTGTGAGCGGAAAGGGGGGGCATGGAACCCCCTTGATGGACGCGATGGACAAAGGCTCCCACTTCCCCAGGACCAGCCCTGCATCTGAGGCTCAGCGACGAGGACCCAAGCGCTGAGCGCTCTGAGGCTGAACCAGAGGAACCAGCCCACCAGGATGGGGAGGTGGCCAGCTGTCGGCCTGGGGCCCACTTTCACTTAAAAACAATTAAACTGCAAAAACTGGTTTTCAACATTTTCCCGCCTCCTTTTGCAAGGGAAGGAGCGCCCTTGCCTTCTCCCATCTGATCAGTTTGGCCCCTGAGTCCAGAGAGTTTCTGACCGCCCCCCCACCCCCCCCACCCTACTCCCTCCCTGAGAAGAGAGATCTAGAATGTGCCACGAGGCAGTGTATCTAGTGAATCAATCCACTGTGTCCCTTGGCTTGCCCCCTCCCCCACTGGAAGTTCCACTAGGCAGGAGACCTTTTTGCTTTGCCCAGCTGCATCCCCCAGCACCTGGCCCAGGGCCTGTCCTAGGAGAGGTCAGTGAACATTCCTTAGGTGAAGAACACAAACTTTACATTTACAGGGAGTAAGAGGTGATTTTTTTTTTTTAATCACTGTTCTATGTCCTTTACCTATTGGCTCCTGTGCTCCTCACAGCTGCCCTACAAGGTGGGTACAAGCATGTCCTCATTTTCAAAGATAAGGGAACTGAGTCACAGAAAAATGAACTTAACTTACTGGAGGCAGAGAAGTTGAGAAAGGAATGACAGCAACCTCAGGAGGCCAGGGCTCCTCCTTGGACCCCTCTTCCGACATTTCCTTGGTACCTGATGTTGGACTTGAGAATGTTGGCTTCAAAGATCAGCCCTGCCATTTGTTGATACTGTGACCTTCTGCAACTCTTCCCCAGACATCAGTGTCCCCACGGGCCCTGGATCAGGGGGTGCCTGATCTTTCCTTCTCTGCCCACAAGCCCTTTAGGAATCCTTTCCTTGGCTGGATGGCAGCTCTGCTCCCAGGGGCAGGAGAAGGTTTGGGGTGCAAACAGAGACTTCCTGTATCCTCCCCTCACTCCTGCTGTGGCTTTGGCTCTGGGCAGGGGCTCCAGGGCCTCTCCCAGTGGGTGCCGGAGGCCAGAGCTGCCTTTGTCTGCCCCAGGAGGCCAGCCAGCCCCTGCCCAGGCCTGGGAGATGGTTTTTTTTTTCCCTGTGTGTTGCAGCTGGGACCGTTTATAATAGGAAAAAAAGAGAATGACCAGGCCAGCCGGCTGGAAAATAAAGAGACTTAAAAAGAAAAGGGCTAGGCCTGTTCTTCTCCTGTGGAGGCTTTGGTTAAGCAGAAAGTTTTAGTTCCTTTCTGAAAGGCATTTGGGCTTTTGAAGTCCCCTGCGGGAGCTCCCTCTGGCCCCTGGGAAGCCAGGCCCTGGCATGTCCCAATGTGCA